TTATTTATATGATTTTTTTCTTGTAAGGTGGTTTTACGAAAAGCATTGAACGACACAAGTCGATATCAAAACAGACTTGGTTTCGAAATTCAGCTATCGCCTTGAAATTCAAATTTCTTTCACCTTTAGTTTATTTTCTTTCAATTAAAGAAAAGTTTTCATTTTGATGTGAATATCATAATTTTTTAAAAGGTCGTGTTAATCTTGGTTCATCTTCGACACGGACGTTGAATTTATAAAATGAATTTATCAATATTTTCTAGTCTACAATGTTGGTGGTGAAAACATCAAAAGTCCCATCTTCAATTTGAAATAGAACCTATAATTATCACATTCCAAGATCATTATTGGTAAATGATCATTGACTAAAATATTTGCACTGGCAAACATTTATAAGTAAGATTTCATAGAATTGAAAACAAATTAACAACCCACAGCCACCCTTCAACTAACAAAAAGAGCTCAGCAAAACTTTATCATAATTTATCTGCGTATGTCAAATCCAGAAAAAGCAAGCGGCTATTTCAGCATTTTGCAGACGCAATTTTTCTTTCGAGGAAAAGCAATACCCCAGACAGTTGTTAGTGCCTTATACTAGATATACATTACTGAAGAGCTGTTTATTAGGAGTTGGTAATTGAATACAGCGAGTAAATAGTTCGTGTTTCCGAGGGAGTCAACAACTGTGGTTAGTAGCCTCTTTGTTGAAATGCAGCTTCGATCCGGGAGGTGTTCGCTAACACGTGACATCTGGCGACGACCTATATACAGTTTGCGTTTTGTTTTTTCACCACCTCATCCGAGATAATCTCTAAGTTCTCAGATGGCATTCCGTTGTGTGTGGTAGTGTAGCGCATGTAAGTGTGTGAGTGTGTGTGAGTGTAAGGGATGAGAATAGGACAATAAAGCGGAAGGAAAGATCACGGGAGGTCGTGGATCGCGGTTAAGGTATTGCTCCGACATTCGCTTGTAATTGGTCGAAAAAAGACGAAAAACTACCGATCAGAACAGCTGGCGACTAGAAATCTCCTTCAAATCATTGCTGAACTTGATATACCTATCTAGCTAATATCGAATATTCACCACCGCCGGGATTCAAAACCTACGACCTTCCGTCTAGAGACGGTGCAGTAGCAACAACTATTCCCTTCACTATTCTCCTCCTGTAATACTAAAAAGATTATTAGTAGTTTGTAATTAAATTCAACGACGACTCCACGAATTTTTTGGCCAGGAGTTTATCATTCGGTCACAACGTGTTTTGCGGACAGAACGAGGCGGCAACGTGTGCTAGCGGACCTGGGTTCGTCGCCGGGAAGAGGGAATCGCGGTTGACAGTGTCCACGGCCGTCTGTCGCCCTGGTGGATTAGCGTTGGCGAGATGCCACCTGTTGGCCGAAACAGGCTCTTCCTTGCGATGACGAGATGACTGCAGAGCTGGCTTTTGGATGATGAAACCGAAGCCTCGGTCTTCTTCCTGGAATCGCGTGGCGTTGCGCTGCGAGGAGACGCAACTAATTTGGAAAGTGAAATTTGATGAACTTTACGGATTACAGTATATTTTAATTATAAACAGTTAAATACGTAATATGCTTATTGCATTACGTGTTTGACTGTCTATAATTAAAACATACTATAACCTACCAAATTTAGGCACACGGTCAGAAAAATATCCTTATGAAATTTGATGAAAGTTTACGACTTTCAAATTCTTATATAAATACCTTACATATTTTCCTAAATATTCGCATTCATTTAATGACGTCTTTGTGACATGTTTGCATTTATAAATCAAACTTTCTACAGAAAACTAAAAGCTACAGAACGGAATTAAGCAAGTAGTTAGGTGGCAAGTGGCAAACTGACTATTGGTTAATGAATCCAAATCCTCGGCCTTCTTTCTGTAAACGGGGTGAGCTGAGAGGAGAGGCAAATAATTAAGAAAGTGAACTTTACTGATTTTTTAACATTTCCAGTTTTTTCTTAAATACGTGATTTTTCTGTAACTTAATTTTGTCTGCAATTTCATTACAGAGAGTTTGTGGAATGCATTTTTTTGGACAATGATTTTTTCATACAAATTGGAAAATTAGCTACTGACAATTGCAAGGTCTCTTACTATAAGACTTAATCATAGTAATTTATTTATTATTAAATAAAATATATGATTATTACTGTGAACAAAATCGATTTCTTTAATTTATACTTTAGATAGTTCAACAAAAACATACTTCAAAGTTCAGAGCTAGGTCATACATTAAAACCGGAGCACAAAAGTTGAATTTACATGTCTTCTTAGTTTCGTAAAATCAACTTTCTAGCTACATAGCACGAAAGTAAAAGAGTATCCGAATACATCAAGAGATGAACACTCATCAAATCTCCACGTCATCCCAATACATCCCCTATCCTCTTCAACTGAACTGAAAATTGAAACAAAACTCACTCTCCCCCACAAAAACCCAAACGGCTCGCAAAGAAACCCTGCACCGCCCAGATCAACACTCAGACGACTCCCACGCAAGCAAAAAAAAGGGAAAAAATTCCAGAGGGCAGAAAGTAGCTACCGGCCGTTAGAACAAGAGCGTATGTATTTCGCCGTATCTCCCCCTAGCCCTTCTTCTCCTTCCCTGAAGCTCCGCACACGTGTGTAGCACGTCGCATCGCCGCGACCCCCACCCCCCTGCTCCCGCCTCCGCCCTTACCCCCGCTACCGCATCTCCTACCCGCCACGTCTCTCTTTCCCGGCCCCTACCCCGCCATCTGCCCGCCCGCCCTGCCACCCCTGCCGCCCACCGTCGCTCCCTCGGCACCACCCACCCCTGCCCGGCCGCCCCCCGCTGCTCCGCCACCCGCCCCCTCGCAGCCCCTGCCCGCACACTCCCCGTAACGCCACTGCCCTTCCCTCGGTCCGCACCTTCCGGCCCTGCCCCTCTCTCTCACCCCCGCCCCGTACACGACTGTCGCTCATCCGGGTCGAGGGGCGAAGTGTAACCCGGCGCCGCTACTGATCTTGCCGGCGTAATCTCTTGGAGGTGCATAGGAAAAAAATCATTAAACGAAGCACAGCCAACGGGATCCGTTGGATTACCGCGTGTTTTGCGTCAGTGTATGGTGGTCCTTCGCTCCTGCCTCGTTTTATTTTTTTTCACGAAGGACTTTGCGGACGTTTGTTCAGGATTGTTGGTGTCTATATCAACGGCACAGCGGAAATTTAACCGATACGCGCGTGATAGTTCCAGAAACTATAATTAGGGTTTTCCTTTTTGATATTAACTTTGCCACTAAGTAGATAATAGTTATTCAACTTCCAGTATGAATGTGAAACGCTACTATTCAATATGCTAGAAAAAATATTATCGATACTTCAAAACTAAGTATCACTAGCTAATATGTATAAACAAACCGTATACTGCCGACGTCTTTGGAAATCCTCCGTGGTGAGGTTACGAATGCCGCATGTGGACGTCTCGTACTCATGCATATCATTGGGCAATGTGATATGTCTCCGTGCATTCAAATCGTCCTATGCATAACTCGTTACTCTCTCTCATCTCTACGTGTGCGGCGTGTTGTGCTGTTGTCACGCCATACAAGGGTACTTATGACCGCGCTCTACGGTGTTGTGGCGCTGACTAGCTCTACCGACTCTCTCCGAAAGAGTCACTCACTGGCGTTGTCGTGGCGGTGTGCACAGATGGTGTGTGGCTGACCGGCCTTGTGTATGTAGATATAGAGAACTATGCAAGAACGCGCTCAGGAATTATACAACAAAACAAGAGACTCAATCCCTAAAGCCGGCGTTTTTTAATGAACTATTTCTGTTTCCAGGAACAGTCTGTGTTTTTCGAAACAACATGATGGTGTAATTCAACAACAAACGCGATGTATTATAGTTCTATCGAATCATCAAGTTCAGCTACTTAAATATTAAATTTCATGTATCAAATGCACCAATGACCTCAAGTGTAGCAAACTTTTGATTTTGACTAGTGTGGATCGTTTAATCCAATTCCCCAGAGTACCTGAGGTGCACTTCGAGTGTAATGGTTATTCTTTATTTGTATTGAAATTTCATATTTTGCGGCAATTAACTTGTATTCCAACTTTTTCATTCGATATAGAGGGCTTTAAATAAAATATGGAGTGTGAATTTCAAATACTTTCATTTTTGGCATTAAAATTCACTGTTCAATATTTCAGACCGGTTATCAATAACTTTTTATTACGTTATCGTATCAAGGACGTAAATATGAACCGATTACGCTATTTAACGTGTTGCGAGCAACCACAGGGCCATTCGGGCGGCCAGCGGGTTTCACACGCGTACGCAGGACCACATGCTCGTCGTCGTTCGTCCTCACTCCTTTCTCTCCCCCAAGGGCGCCTCACTCCACCCCATGGCCACCCCCTCGATAGGGCTACGTCGGCCAGAAGGGGCATCGTGCTGCGGGGAGAGCGTTGGCTGCAGGCGTCAAGCAGCAGAACCTACTGTTCCGCACACTTGTCCACGGATCGCCCTCGCGAGGCCGCAACGGCACGCCGTGGTGGGAGGAAGGACGCGACGGCGGCGGCGCACGGCGCAGCAGTTCGCAGGCTTAACTGCCACGGGGAACATCGAAGAGGATGCAGATTAGCAGACGTCTATGTGAGAGCGCTGCGGCGCGGTGGCTGGGACCGCGCGCTCGCTTCGTTGGTAGACAAGTCTTGCCACCCCGCGCCGCCGCCGTCCGCCGCCGCCGCCGCCGCGCTCGTTGGCCCGAGGCCTGCGTTCCGCTTTCCTCCACTTCCCGCACACACACCACACACGCTCACGCGCACACGGTTGCGCATCGTTATATAAGCGTCCCGGCGCCGCCGTTGCCGCCGCCCCACCACTTGCTCAAATCGCGCTGTCGTGGCCAGCCAGCGCCTTGTTCGTGGGCGGAGCTGGGCCGAGTGGTGACGGCCGGTGGGAGGGGGCGGCGGGCGGGGGCTGGAGCGAAGGGAACAACAGCCGCTTACGCGGCACTGGTGCCGCCGCCCTCACCCCCGCCCCCTCCCCCGCCACCGCCGCCGTCGCCCCACGAGTCCCAGACCGTGTTCGGCCGGATGGGTTTGTATTGGGTTCGGAGAAGGCGTGGCCGGGCGGCGGGGCGGCGCGGGGGCGGACCTCGGTCGTCGGAGCGCGAAGTGGCCTCGATGTTGTTCGCTGTTGTTCCCAGAAGGAGCCCCATGCTGTGCGAGTGCCCGTGCCGCTCTCGCCGACCGAGTTATTGAACGAATCTTCAGCGCGAGAGTGACGGACACTGGGGAGGCGACGGTCTCCCGAGCGGTTAACGCTCCGCGTCTGGCACTTCGTCGCAGGCGGTTGATTAAGTTTTCTGCGGTTCCGACGGTTTTCCGGCGGCGGATTGCTCTGTTAATTCGTCTTTGATGTCCGTTTCGCCCTTAAGTTGTTTTTTTGTTCTGTCAACGAGCGTCCGCGATTGAGTCGTTGAGATGTCGCGGGTGAATTGCATGAAATCTTGTTTCCTCAGTTTCAAAGAAATAATTGGTTTTTTAAAAACAAAGAAAATAGTTGTATTGAATACGGCACTATAGAGAGAAGTGAACGATATTTCTTACTCTTTTCAGGACCTGTATTGTAGCAGCCAATATTTCAAAATTCTACGATGTATGAAAATCACAGGGAAATTAAAATGTTTTACAGACTATAAAATTGTTACATATTTAGCGTATTTTTGTAGTGAAATTTTAACAGAAGAAAGAGAAGTCAGAAAGTTTTTTTATCGTTGTCACCAGTCATTTTTTATTGATCTTGGAGTACATCTGACGCAAGTCCATCGCAAATATTTTAACGATATGTCACCTACAAGTCTGTAGCAGATTGAGCTGCAGTTACACAGGTAGTGCGAAATATCCAACCAATTACTATTGTCTTAAGTCTTAACACCAACATTGGAAAAATTCTCAATAAAGAGGAGGGAACCTATACATTCATGAGTGTAGGCATTTACACGAGTTAAAAATGAGCAACTGCTATTCTAAAAAGTTAAAGAGGAACTCCAAAAAGTAAGTAGGAAAAAGATGTAAGTGCACTATTGACGTATTACTAAAGACTGAAGGAAGACTGAAAAGAAACGCGGGCTGCAGAGCGAGAAGCAATCATGAAGAATATAAACGAAAGCAACTACTAAAGCTGATACTTCTCGAAAGTTATTTCTATGCCCCATCGTCTAGCAACGGAGAGATGTGGGTCTTTGTTTGAAATAAACAGGAAAAAAACATTTTGAGTTCATTAAAATTTGGAAAAGTAAAAAAAGTGTATGAGGTCAAGGTGAAGCGGATGTAGTTATAACTAAAAGTTAAGAAAAACGTATTTAAGAAAATGAGTGGCAAAAAAATGATATAGCTAGAAACTCTAAGAAGAATATATTAACTATTTGAGTATGTAAGCTAAGAATTCATTTCTAAGAATATTATGTACGTGTGGTTTATCAACTTGATATAACATTTTTCTTCTTCCTGGTTGAAGTTGGCATTGAAAGTCAACTAGAAGACGAAACATATAGAAGTGTTACAACACTTGTACCTAGTGAACCGAAGTAAATCAGGTACTCACCAGTGAGCTTGAAGGGCAGCGACCCCACCAGTGGGTCTGGCACCCGTCCGGGGTCCAGAGGGCCTCCGAAGGGGAAGGGCCGAGGGCCGAAGTGGAAGGGATGGAATGCTTGATGCCCTGCAACACATCCGCACGCACACGCAAATCAACCGGGAGGCCCTGCATCACCTAGGATGAGATGACGGGAGTCGCCCCAACCTAGTCAGAGATGCCGTCATGGTTGCGTAGGCTTCTGCGGCCGAAGTTTGTGTTATCTAGGATATCCGGGACGGGCCGCGTCACTGACGTGGTAGCTAACGTTTCGGTCAGAGTGTTGTGACCTTCATCAGAGCGCACTGCTTCAGCAATCCCGGATAGCCTATATAACAGAGATGCCGTCAGATTGTGGCCCTCTCCAGGGAAATACTCTGTATAACGGCCGAAAATTGGCAGCACTTGGCAGAACAGGGCGTTTTGCAGACAGTGGGACATAATTGACTCCCAAATTCGTCTGGACACCCGGAGACCCATGATTGCGTATGATGAGATAACACGGAATGTTTGCTGTCCCAAAGATGATGCACCTTAATAAGTGACTGTTTCGGCCGTTACACTGCGTGCCTCTTCAGGGCATGTGCCAAGAAAGTCGCAGAGTGGTCGTCGGTGACTGTTTGGGATAAGGCAACTTATGATCGAAGACACTTCATTGGCACTCGCACTCTCATGCAAATCAACCAGAGGCCCTTGTAGATTTAGATAAACACATTCCCTTCATTGTAGAATCTGGGATGTGCCGGAAATACCGCACCCTAGTCAGTGATGCTATTTAAGCGCCAAGGAAAATTTTATTATAGTTGCAAGTTGGCAAATCCTTATAGGCAACACTGAATTCGTTTTAGTAGTGCAATTTCGACAGTCAGACTGCCATCTGTTTATGTCGAATGGCAAGGTTGACTTTGTGTGAAAGTTGGCAACTCTGTTTAGGTAACACCACGTTCTAGTTAATAATGCCATTTCTCCCGCCAGTCTTTAGCCTTTTTCATTTCAAGTGCTAAGGAAGATAGTATAACAGTAACAAGTTGGCGACATTGTTAAAGCAACACCACATTCTATTCCGTGAGCCCATTTCAATTTGAGTTCCAAGGAAGACTGGCAGTGAAAGTTGTCAGCACTACAAAGGACACAGTATTTCGCGAGCAATGAAACTTCGGTGACTTTCAAGTTCGGTTGATAATTAAACAAATATTTTTACTGTTTGCAATGCGATACGGCGGATTCTTAACTTGAGAAACTCCACGTCCTAGGTAGTGTTGACAACGTTTTAGCCGTCATAACTGCTATTCGCTCAAGTCAATGAAGCAGTATGACGTTGAAGACGTTGACAAAACTATCTAAGACACTGTCACCCCGACAGTCACGACTCCATTGCTACCTATGATCATGCACAATTGGCATGAAATCTCTTGATGGCCTAGAAATAGACATCCTACCATCGCGGAATCTTGGCTACACGGAAAATGCTAAGTGGTGTTGCAAACATTTCGGCCGTCGTACTGTGACGTTCGTGAAAAATGTTAAAATATTTTACCACAATAATGGCAGCACTGCAAAAGAAATTAGTGTCTCCAGAACAGAGGGCAGTTGATTTTCTTCGGCTGCTGAAGACTTCGCTTAATTTTATCTCATTGACCTATCTTGGATATACTAAGGGAAGGAATGTGTATTCGCTGGTACCAAAATACACTAAAAACCATTGAGTTATAGATACTCATTCTATGATTGATCAGACATTAAATCTCGTTGGCCTCAAGCATCTTAATCTAGTCTCATAAATGTGATATCTACAGGGCTTGATTTCTGGCGGAAAGCGACGAAACGGCAGTCCGGTACCTTGGGAGTGATATTTAAATTGTACTTAAATACATAACTATTTCTATTTAACTAATTAATTTGGAGGGCGTTAAGGAATCTAACATTTTATAAATCAAGCACTGAACAGTAGAATATTATTTTTTACAATGGCGTTTAAGTTATTTTGTTAAAATATTTATTCAACTTGTTTTCGTAAAAATTAAAATTTGATCTAGGGCAGTATTATTCATAGGCTCACCATTAGTGATTATTAAAAACAAACCGTGAACTAATGATTAATTATCGAATCATGTTTTCATTTTTCGTTGTGATAGCAGATACCTTGTAGTACTCTATAATGCGAATTAAGAACTAACAATCCACAACAATAAAATGGTGGTAGTAGATACCTTTTGGTACTTCATAATATGAATAAATAAATAATCATTCACAACAATAAAAAAATTCAGACGTGGTAACTGACACCTTGTGGTACTCCACAATGTGAATTAAGAAATAATCAACTACAATAATAAGAAATATGTTTTATTGTTGCGGTTGATTATTTCTTTATCCATATTATTCAGAAAGAATATTATCAAGAGCTGGAAGTAAGGGGTGGAGTAGAAGAGTACTTGTGCCGACACGTACACGCAGAGTACTCACGGGTCTTGGACCTGGGCTCCCGGGGGCCGTCCACCGTCACCTTGATGGCCTTCGAGTACGTCGCCATCTGCGGCGGGGACGACCCGATGATGATGGTCAGCGTGAAGCTTTTGCCTGCAACACCCAACGCGCACACGCGCTTAGACCCTCATTCCTCGAATACCTGCGTACTTACAACACCTGCTATATGTACAAAGGAATAAAACTCACCGGGACCTCTTCAGGAAAGGAATTTTTGAACAGAAAGAAGAAAGAGAGACCTCTACAATTTGCGTTTGTAAATCTGTGAAGCTCTTACCAACTAGATCAACACGCACATGCACTTAGATCATTCCTCGAATATCTGACTATTTACAATCCCTGCTATATTCAGTATGAAATACAGTTCTTCGGGAAATCTACATGAATGAAATGTTCATACAGAGAAAAGAAAGAAAGTTTAGTACATTTTGGTTCCGGGAATGTATGAAACTCTTGCCACCAACATTACCCATCACACACGTGCATTTAAATCGTCATTACTCAAATATATGGATATTTGCAATCCCTTCAATATAAAGGTGCAAGAAAACTCAACAGCAGCACTTGGAGCAAGCTTGGCAGGAATGAATATTTCACACAGAAGAGAAATTCCAATTCAATTTGGGTTTTAAATTGGTTAATTACAAATTTATCATACTAGTTTGACCGCTACGCGAGAATTCGAACAATGTGAAAAAGAAGGCTTCAATTGAGAAAACCCACACTGTCAAAAATGTCATTAAAATTAATATAGATTAAAGTATTGTACATTAACTTAATGTAACCGTGTACCTTAAAAAGAGCTTAATGTGTTTGTACAATAACTTTAAGGCATACATTGAAATCAGTGTAGATTTAATGTAGAGGTTCTCCCGTTTCTTCGTCATCATTTTGTATATTCATCACGATCATTCTGTCCATCAAGATTATTCATTAATTCCTTCCTGATATAACGATGAAGGTTGACTCTTGCATCGTAATGTACATGTGTACATTAAATTGAATGTAGGTTCATGGTACTTTAATGTAATTTACATTAAAGTAATGCTGAAATTTCTGACAGTGAACATTTATACTTGGCTTCCGTTGCTAAGAATCCCAGCTCCTCTTTAGCCGCCCACTCCGCAGCACGCAGGTTCACGGAGCGTGCGGGGCTGGGGGGGGAGGGGGAGGCAGAAGCACCGCACGGAACGCGCGTTTTATGCGGCCGCGGAGTGCATATTTCAGCGGGCGCGGCCGGAGGTTACAGCAGGCCGGGGAAATCTTCGCGGCTGGCTCGCAGGGGGCCTGGCGCGGCGGCGCTTGCGGCCGGCCCCGCATCATCCTTCGAGGAGCGCTCGCATCGCGCGATGGAAGCGCTCCAACGGCTGCGATATCTCGCCGTTGCCTCCGCGGTGGCGTTGACCGGGATTGATGGGTGATTCCGGGTGCGGCAGCGGCTGCCTTTTGTCCCTTAAGCGTAGTGTATGTTCCCCCCTCTGTAAGTGGCAGTGATCGTCTCTACTAGATGGAGAGATCCAGTGCCAGTTAGAATTATATTAGATTGAGAAGCAACAGTTAACTACGCAGTGCATTTTGTTTCACTTACAACGCTACAGTTTTATATTTTTATGGCAGCCATTAATAAGTTGATATATATGTTTAAGATTTTCCTTTGTAATGTACACTGTACCTGTGAAATGCTGTCTCAACCACACAATATCAATGTTCTGAGCCCTGATTCAACAATAATTAATGCGCTTAATAAATAGAAAAGAAAAAGATTTCAATCGGCAGTGAAGTGAGCTACCATCTTAGAATTTTTTTTATTTTATTAAAGAGATCTTATGTCAACAAAAATTAATCAACTATTTCGTACCATACGTAATATGATTCAATTGCAATTTTCTCCATTTATAGGACGAATATAGTATACGGATTGCGGCGATTGCCATTACGTTTTGCAAAATTTAAGACCGCAGTAATCGTATTTTTTGCCTGACTCAATTTGTCTATTTGGGTTTCTTTTCTACTCACAGATAACAGTCCCGACACATTTCGCCCCTCATTCATAACTCTTCAGCTCGAATACGTTCCCTTTACTTTTGTTTTATGTGAGAATTTGTAGCGACCGAGAAATCTCCGCAGCGCTGTAGAAGGGCTTGTGGCTTTGCTTCACATCACAGCCATTCATAACCCATTCATCCATCGAATTCTGGAATGTTCTGTCGCCAACGCATCAAATGGAAATTTTACCGTGGCGATTTGAACAGGAATTAGGAAAACATGTTAATATGTAAATAACCAAACTAATTTTAATTAATAAAAGCATGATACTTCTTGATAAGATAAAACAAAAAGTACATTTTTTAAGAACTTTTATTTTGAAAAATGTAACTTAATTGAAGAAATTATAATATTTTAACTTGTAAAAGCTTGTAATATTAGGAAACAGTGATAAATAGCATTTAAGTAGCGCGGGAGACTGGGCAAGGGGGGCACCTTTAATTTCAATGAGAAAATAAAACATTATTGCGTTTTTTATAGATCAAAATAGAACTAAAAGGAATTTAAAGATTTGTAATTTTGTCCCAAACGAAGATAATAGCGTTTATCGTAAAATTCTAGTTCAAATTTTTAGAATCACACGTTTGTATTGCCCTTGTAAAGCCTATTTATTTTAATACGTTTGTATTGCCCTTGTAAAGCCTAAGTATATTTAAGTAGTTTACGTTTCAAATTTCCTTAATTTACACATGACCAAAATGTAAATTTGTATCTCTCTTACACATGTCACACTTTGTGATATAATATTTTGTGGATTTGACATAAATACAAACTAGAGTCAGGTGATTCTATTAAATGTTAGTGAATGAAAGTTCCGAGACTTGTTCTTATAAAACAAATTGTCATCTTCTCTTTCCTTTTGTGTTTGTCTTGAACTCCAAACATTTTTATTATTCAATTAAAGGGGAAATACATATTGTTGAATTTTTGTTTCAATTGCCATATTTGCGTGTATCACTGGAGAGCTTTTATACATTACTTAGTACTATAAGAATTACAAATTCCGATGCTTGTCATTTCATATCATCAGACACAAGTATATAACCAAACGCACATGAATTTATAATAGGTTTTTTCAAATATGTGCTTGCAAGACCAGTATTTCAAATTAAATAATTTAGATTAAAAAAGGAGTCTGAAGGAAACTGATGAACAAAACTCATTGACAATAAATTATGTAAAAATTCGAACAAAACCCTATTCTTCTTTCAGTTCCCAGACATTCACACACAGCCGCTGTTTCATGCATTTTTCCACTCCCACCCTACCCAAAGAACGTGCAAAAAAACCGCAACACCAATCACAAAAGCCCTCGGCACTGGTAACAGCCAGCATCCCATTCCAGGATTCGTTTTCATTCTGTTTGCCGTCGAAACAACACCCCCTTCGCCCCCACCTCCCCGCCGCCTCCTCCTCCTTCTCCGCCGCCGCCGCTGTTCCACCAGCTCGACCACGGTCGCCGCTTTGGCGTAACGAACTACGGGCCCCATAATTCATTGCGGCGGTTTTTGAAGCTCTGCAATTGGCGTAGCCACCCCCGCCCCTGAATTTTTCAGAGGCAATCCGCGGTGCTGGCCGCGAGACGGCGGTGGCGCGGGGGCGGGGGCGGGGTGGCGGTTGCCAGCCGGTGTTTTTTAATAATTTCTACTACCGCCTTGCGGCTGCTCTGGAACCTTGCATCTCCCAGAACGTCTGGCTCCGCTGGCGGAAAGATGCAGTGTAACCGCTTGTAGATGCTTGTCTTTGTTGTTACGTCTCGCCCTTAATAATATCAAGATATTGATGAGGAAGGAATAAATGTATAATGTGTTACTGCGGCTGAAAGTTTATTGTACGTTTATATTTTTATCAGATATGTTCATGTATTTTAATAATGATATTCTAGTGTATTTAGCACAAGTAGCAAGGCAACTTGATATAACACTTGTTATAATTTATTTTTAATAATCTTTAACGATTATCAAGCTATTGGTGTGGATGTGTTGAATAAATAACATATAACAGTTGCTTAATTTCTATCGTATGTTGTCGTTCTCCATTGATGTATTCTCTTGATGTCTCAGAAGATTAATTTAGGGTGACATCAATATTCTATCACAAGAATTGTGTAGGCATGATATGTTACAAAATCTGTTATATTTTATTTGTAATATTCGTTCCAAATTATCAAGATATGCTGTTTAGAGACTGACTGTGTATTATTTTTCAGTGGCAGCATTTTTATCGTAAATTGTCATTCTTTTATTAAATTTATGAAAATAAGTTAGCGTCGATATTATAAAGCACATCCAAAAAACACAAGCGTATGTTCTGACCAAACGTGTTATAATTTATTTGTAATATCCATCAAGTTGTATTCAGAATTTACATAATTAATTTGGCAATGCAACTAACAAAAACGTAATTACTTTAAATTTTACGAATATGCTTATTTCCCCTAGTTCCTTGCAGAAATACATGACTTGTATAATATATATTATATATCAGGATGTCGATTTCGAAAGCACATATCTCTTCTATTTAAATTGCAAAGATCGTTACAAGTTTTCTGGCTTTAATCTTTTGACTTTCTTTCCCGCGTGAAACATGATATTCCGTTCGTTGGTTTCGTACGCCCTCGTATATTTCTGACAGTTCATGAATTTCTGATTCCAAACCGACTAGCCCGAAGGTTTTGTTTCAGAAACCAGTGTCAGTTTGAAACTCCCTCCCTCGTATTAATTTTTTAAAAATCTTAAAATTTCGTGCGCCCAATATCGTTTTGTACTACTCTTGGCTTGTTGATTCCTTTTTAAAAAGTACATTCCGTCAGTCTAAAATTGGTACACATACGTAGCAATGCAAATTTAACATGTCTCCACCAACTCTAATTTAATTGTAACCTCACTGAGTCGTACTCACATCCGCTTTTGGATGATCGATATGGTTACAAAATGAACGTCTCGGTGCGTTAAATCATTGGGTAGGAATTCCTACCATAACCGGATATTTGTTTGCTGTTTGTTTAACGGATGCCTCCCCTTGATGTCATCAATGTGCTTTTTAGAAAGGAATCAACGCGCCTAGAGATGTAGTAGTGGGTATTAGGTGCACGAAACTTTTGGATATTTTTTAAAAAAAATACTTTGAATGAGTTTCAAGCTGGCACTGGTTCTCAAAACAACACAAGAACCAGCCCGTTTCTATGGTCAGACAATTCGTCGGCAATATTGGGTAGCCAGAGTTAGCAGGAAATTTCCTCATAATAATAATAAAAAACGTCCTCCATAAAATTTCGTGCTCAGAATATCCATTCCCGGAAGTGTCGGTGCCTCGATATGTCAGTCACGTCGTCGCGCTGGCCTCCCCCGCCCGTCGCCCGGCCCCGTGTCAGTTCCCCAGGTGGCCGTGCCCGACACGGCCGCCTGTAAACGCAGGCCCCCTCCGCGGCGTCTGTGACTTCCCGCCCCTCTCCGCGCGGGGGCTCGCGGGCGCGGCGGGTTACCTCGAGGGTGACATTCCCGGGAAGAGGGCGGCCGATATCGGATCGAATCATCGGAATCGATGCGAGCCAGCCCGCCTAAGTGGGCGACTCCCTCGGGAGGCATAGCGACGGGGGCGGTCTCGATTCATCGATTCTTGTAAAGGAGACGCGGGGACATTGCATGAGCCCTGCGGGACGCCTGGGGAGAAGAGGCGTGGAGTTGGCTGACGGAGGAGGATGACACACACGGCGGACAAGTGTCATTGGCTGATGGGGGCAGACCTTGTAAGGTAATGGAGTGGGCTGACAGTGGATGTGGGCACTTACGGTGGGCTGCTCTATTTAAATGTAGGTGACGGGGGAAGGAGAGGATTTGTTGGCTGATTGAGGATGTGGCAGTCACGGTCAGCAGGTCTCATTGATTGATTAGTGATTCCAGGCGCGTCAACTACGAAGGTATTTAGTCTCGTAAGTGAAGGTTCATGATCTTCTCGGATGTTGGCGGTTTTCTTCACCCGCTTGATGATCGGCGCCAACCTTCCGTCAGCTAGAAGGGTTTTCCGCAACTAGGTATCTCCCGCCAGTTGGGCACCTCCCCTGACGGGACAAGCTCCAAGTTCCCGACCGGACTCCAGACATGTGTAGTAGTATAGCGCATGTCAGTGTGAGTATATAAGGGGTGAGATTAGGTCAAGAGGAAGGATAGATCGCGGGCGGCCCCTATGTTAGAGTACTGCTCCTGCATTCGCCTGGCAATGGTTGGGGAATAATGAAAACTCAGATCAGCTGTTCGCAAGAATCCTCCTCCAGACAATGACTGTATTCGACCTAGCTAGTGTCAAAAATCCTGTCACAGCTGGGACTCGAACCAAGAAGCTCCCGGTCAGAGACACTGCGGTGACATCATTATATGCCCTGAGCCACTGCTCCTGGTGCAGGTCTCAGAAGTTTATGGAGTTAAATTATCGGGTACTTATGATGGCCAGGAATGTGTTTTAGGTGACGGAAAAAGGAGAGAGTTAAAGTTTGCTGACAATGGATGGTGCCACTCTTGTTGGGCAGGTCTTGTAATGTTTTGAACACTGGTGATTGACAGTAACAGAGTACTCTGTCGTAAAGAAAAGAAACCAGGAATGGTGGATGAACCTTCTCATCCAACAATTTACATTTCCCCTCTAAATATAAACAAATATTTAACGCAACTGATCAAACTGACATCTCGTGAAAACTATACCTTACAGGACACCATATTACCAGGTTGTTGACTTGAACGAATGTTCTTGGGCGACTGAACCGAATGTTCTACTTAAGTGAAGTTATTCAGTAATCACAGTGATTGTTATATCATGAATAATCATATAACTCGACTTACCCTGTTAGGGATTATTAGTCATAAATATACAAGCTTCCGTTGCTCACCCATCAAAATTCAACTCATCAGACTATATGAAAATTAAGAGAATGATTAGGGAAATTTAGTGATATAAATATATCATTTTCATAAAAAAGTTGACTTATTTGTTAAATAATTGTGGCCATAGAAAGATTACTACAACGGGAAGAAAATGTTGATTCAACAAGGCCTTTCCATTACAACTGCACTGTATGTGAAAGAGACTCTGCCTGTTTTGCGATTTGTTCTTCTAAGGGTTCGTTCAATGAAGAGTTCACATCTCTAAGAACACAGCCGTTTTCGACTACATATTTTAAACACTTCCGTGAATCTCAAAAAATGGAAAAATCAACTTTCTACAACTTCAATAATTGTGTTTTTAATAAATGTTCTAGCCATTAGTTTTGTTATAATTGCTTTTTGAAAGTTTTGTTACCATAAAATTGAAAAGTAGTTGATGTCATCTTCTACATTAACCTTTTTTCTTCTCAGTTACAAAGGTTATTCTAGTAGGCAGTAATAACACGTAGATGAATGAAAGTTTCACAAAATACGGTAGCAGTTTTGTGCAACATTTCTTTTTCATAATTCCTGTGATATTAATTATCCATCCGATTCATGTAATGTATTAATTCCGGAAATAGTCATACAAAGTATCATACAAAGTGCTGTGATATTACATATAACTTAGAACGTATATGTTTTCATCACGAGTGATGTACCAAAATAATGGAAAATTAAAGTAATATCTGCCGTTCCGAATGGCCGAGATCGTTACGGCAGTAGGGCGGTTGCGATCTCGGACCGGATCGCGGGTTCGAGTCCCGCCTCGGGCATGGTTGTATTTGTGTTCGTCCTTTGACCCCCTATCGTCACCGTATCGTGTCATCTTCACAGTTATCATACTGTTAAATGCAATAGAGGTCGCTAATGACCTAGGTGTTGATGCGACCTTATATAACAAAAAAGAAAGGGTCTGTTTGTCGGGTAGTTTGGTTCAATATTTAAAACCCGGTCCTTGCGAACGTGTCGGGTCTCGCTCTGAAGTTCCGCGAGTTGTAGCAGCGCCGTAAGCGCCCGCACGCGCCGAGGCACACGCGCAGCGGGCGCGGATCTGCGCATCGGGCGCAGGCATCAGCCGATGAATATGCATGCGCGGCCCGCGCACGCCCGCGGCCGCGCTTCGGAAGCTGCGCCGGCGCGGGTGGCTCGCTGCAACGACCGCCGGCGCTGCAGCGTCTCTGGCACAGAACGTGCGGAGGATGCAGGAAGCGGCTGCCTCAGCAGCGGTTCGGCTGATGATTTCGGGTTAAGACACGTCAACTGATATGGTTATTAGTCGCTTTGGGGGAGTGTATGGTATTATTTTGGAGGAGGCGGTGTTTATCCTCAGCTGGATCGTGAGATCCGGCACCAACCTGCACGTTGTTTAGCGAGTTTTTCCCAAATAAGGAATGTCCCACTAGCGGGGTACCCCCAGCCGGGTCGAGCAGCAAACTCCAGAATTATCTTCCGACGTGTTTGGTTGTGTAGTGCATGTAAGTGTAGGTGTGTGTAAGTAAGGGATAAGGAAAGGAGAGGAAAGGATAAGGAAGGAAAGATCGCGCGACCGTGAATTCTCCCCCACAGGTCCTCTGACTTCGACTTAGCTAAGGGCCCACTGTGGAAAATCCTGCCTACGTAAATTGAATTCCGGCACAGAAGCGACACACCAGTTGTGTTTCTCTCGCCGGCATTAACTACTGCTGATATTTTTTGTGTAAAACTATTTGATAAAAATAGTCACTTTCTATATCGTATTTTTTTCATAAAATTACAAATTTTGCCTTATGAAAATGATATTTTGTGAAACTTTTATTTTTAAAAATAACTGAAAATATCATCGTGAGCAACAAACATATTTCCGGCCGGCTGCGTTAGCTCAGAAACAACACCGTTACTTCTGAAGCATCGTTGATTGGGAAATCTTAGGGTTCGTGTCCCGACGGTGGCGGATTTTGAACATTAGCTAGATAGAGGAGTCGAAATTCACCCACAGTCGTGGAGGAGAATTCTAGCGACTGGCTGCGACGATCGGTAGTTGTTCCGTGGTTTCTCCAATCAACACCAAGCGAATGCCGTAGAAATGACCTAAGAAGGGGACCACGGAACGCGAGATATTTTCTTCATTATTTTTCTTTCGTTGTTTTTGTACACACACTTACTAAATACATTGTGCAACCACACATATCGTGAGAGATCACGGGAATTTAGAGCGTGTTTCGGATGCCTCACTGGAGGAGAAACATGCGTGAGGGAAAGAGAGCCCCGAAGTTCAACCTGGAGGTCGGCGTTGCATCATGCATTCTCGCGGGAAAGAAAGACTGCCACTCCGCGAGGCATAACATTGAACTTTATTTAGAATAATAATGACTACAGCAGTTACCGACTACTACCGACCGATGAGGTGGCTCAGGGCATCATGGAGGTCGGTCAGGGAGGTGGCTCTGGGTTGTCAGAGCAGTGCCTCTGAACGGGAGGACTTAGGGTTCCACTCCCGATTATGGCAATGTTTTCGACACTAGATGGATAGCTAGGATGAATTCAGTCGCTCTCTGGAGAAGACTTCTAGGTGCCGGCTGCTCTGATCGGTAGGTTTCCGTGGTTTCTCCGATCAACACCGGCAAATGCCGGGGCGGTACAAACGGGTCACGATCCGTGCGCTATCTCTCCTTCCTCTTCCTCGTCCTATCCTCACCCCCTTACATACACTTACATGCACTACACTAGCACTCGTGCCGGGAGACCGGTCGAGAGCTTAGGGCTCGGCTGGGCTGGGGCGGTGGGAGATACCTGGTCGGGGAAAACCCCGCTAGCCGACGGTAGCTCGGCGCAGGATCTCGCCATTTAGCAGGAAAACATCACCGCCACTTCCCGAGGAGAAAACATGCACCACACGTACGGAACTATTGACCTTAGCAGTTGACGTGCCCGGAATCACTAATTAACGATTGAATCGAAACCGATTAAAAATGGATTAAGTCGTTCTTGGAAATTTTAATAATTATTTTGAAACGCATCGGCGGGCGATGGCCGCATGCGCCCTGGGACCGATTGGGGTCGTGGGTGGCCAGCGACGGGAAGCACTGCGTCGATTTGAACCACGTGGAAAGCACACAGTGGTTTGAAGGACGCGAAAGTCGGACAACATTCGTTTTTCGAAACGTTTTCATTTATTTAATCCAAATATATATTCGTAAAATGAAATGGTCAGTGCTCCACTTTTCGCCATGCCTTTTTTTAGTTTGGGGAACTTATTGTGTTTGAAGGCTGAATATCATTTGGATTTTTTCAGAAGAAAGACGGTCATACATTCGTAATATTTTGAGATCATATTTTCTAAATAATTGTAAATGGTTTTAAAAGTGCATTGTTTATCTCGTTAGATCTCAAAACTATTCAACTAATACATTTTTTCAAAATTCATTTGTATTATTACTTTCCCTTTTTGCAATAATATTGATATTTTTAAAAAACAATAATACAGTGCAGACTTAAGGTTACATATTGAAGTCACATCTGCATTACTAATCCAATGCGCGCAGAAATTGAAAGATAATTATGATGACTTCGGCCATGTGAGAGGTGTCTACGCTTTTCTTAGATATCCAAAAACTTTTTGGAGAATCTCAAAACAATGAAACTGTTTCTATTTTGACTTCTTTGAAAAAATGCAAATAGTTGACTGTGTTATCATGCCTGTACTCTTACTGCGCAAACAGACTGACTTCTCATACTCAGTGCGTCACTACTTGCAACACAGTTGACACCATGCTACAGCGAGACTCCAAGGAAGAGTCTATTCGCCTTTTAATATTTGCTATTTAACCCATGTTACATTATGGAACATTTTTTTATATTCTTAATATAATGTTCAAGAACTGTTGTATTGTAATATATAGTAAATCATGCAATTGCAGTATTCATGAAGTCTGTTTGAATTAAAATATTTAATTTATTGCAGTATAATAGTGTATTTTATTTGTTGTTCTTGAGTAGAGTGGGTGCTATTTCTTGGAAAATCATTTTGTGGGGATTTATCCAGTATTTTTGGTTGGCTGCATTCCACTAGTTAATAATATAAACGTTTCGACAAACATTTTTTTTTGTCTGGTGGGAGACCTGAATTATCAGAATAAATAAATTAAAGTAGAGAATTGAAAGTTAATTATTCAATTTTAACATTGTTTCTTCTAATTTGTTGATTATTATAAGAAAAATAGTGCGAATACAAACGTGAATGTACATTTTGAATGAATATAATTTATTGTTCACCCGAGGGGTAGCTTAGGAACAGGTTGAAAGATTTCCATGGTTCAGTCGCGGGTTTGATTCCCGACCGTGGCAAAAATAGGGCTGTAGTTTTCTAATACAATCGTGTTTAGTTTCTACAGCTGTGTGACGAAAGAAAAGTTTCAGGCAGACCAAGTAAGCTAAGTGCGGTAATGGAAATATGTCATGTTCGTTATGTGTCTCCCATACCCATCTGATTCTCGCGGATTCACCTAATAAAAGTAACGTGATGATGAAGTAAGGACATTCCTTCCCGAAACGTCGTGAATATTGTTAAATGAAGAATTATTTGTAATGAAAAATTAGTATTAAAGAATGCAAATGCCGTGAGCTATTCAACTGCATTCAAAATGGTTGGCGGGAGACAACATACACGTATCAAA